GCATCAACTTCTAGGTTGGCAGTGCAACTCCCTGCTATTAAGCCTCCAGAACTCCCTTTAAGCTATTAGAATGTAACTAATAAGAATTTAGGCTAGTTATGGAAATCTTAAAGAGAGAATAAAACACCGAATAGGGGCTAAGTAAGCTAGAGTTTCCATGATCATTCTCTTTGTCCACTAAGACACACTTACTTCTAATTACTCAATATTCCATTCTTAAACTTTGTCATCCACTAACAAACAGCTTCTTCTGCTTCTCTTTATCCTATCCACATTGTCTCATCTACACAATTCCTTGTGTCTAATTTGTTCACTCTCCATTTCCGATGCTGCACTTGGAGACTCTCATTCATCTCCATCACTGTCAGAGGTGGCCTCGAGGGTGTGTGATTCATGGGGCACTCCCTGCTTGGTCTGATACTCCACCATATCTATCTTGAGTCTCTGCTTTTATGTAATGGGCCTTGTGCTTTCTCTTTTTTTAATTTTTACATTTATTAATTCAGATTTTAGTGAAAGTTTATTAAGAACTTGGATTTCCATTCATTCATTGTTGCACATGTTCCCCCCTGCTCCCCCTTGCCCCCAGTTAGCTTTTCTTGGGGGGGGAAGTTATTTCATTATTGGGGCTTGTGCTTTCATTTCACATTGTGTCCCATGAATTATGTAGATAGTCCTGCCTGGGATCCTCTTCTTCACTGAGGTAATCTTATTAAGAGATCCCAGGGAGTGTGGCAAGGTGCTCAGGGGTTAACCAGATAGTCCCCGACATGTAGTAACCAAAATCCAAAACAGAGTGGCTTACACATATATGCGCACACATACAAATAAATACTTAAAACCCTGAAATGTAATTACGACAAAGGAAAAATTAGAAAAATAATATATACCTACTCCTCACTTACTGGTTATCTCATTATCAGGCACTTCACATTACAACTATGGTGAAAAAACCCTATCCATTATGAACATTTAAGACATATCTCTGGCAAACACATACGAATATTGAAGAGTTAAGTATTGCTGGCTGTGCTAGTTAAGTGTCAGAGGTACTTGGTAATTATGATATTATTTGGCAGTTATTTATTTAATGATGCGATAATTGTCCATTTTTGCATAATGTTGATGTTCACATAATGACCTGGCCTTTGGAAATGAACCACGTGGATAATGGATCGGTAGGTGAACAGCAACTGTTTGGCCAGTGATGGGAAACAAGCTGGAGTGTATATTTTAAAATAAAAAAGCCTGCTATGTGGTGAGGTGCTTTACAGGTGATTTCATTCAAAGAATAAATAGAAGTTTAATTAGCTCCACTGTGTACAAGACTTTATGCCCTTGTATAAAGAGCCTTTCCATGTCTCCCACTCTTGCCTCTTATTTTTCCACATTTCTGGAACAGTCCAAGCTCACTGCTGCCTCTGAGCTCTTGCATCATTATTCCCTTTGTTTCCTGCTCTTCTCTCCTGTGTCCTTCTTGCTTACCTCAGATCTCATTTCAAAATGCCTCCTTCCCAGAGACATCCTTATCTCAAGTAATTCCCTATCTCTCCTTCTCCTGTTTTGTCCTCAATCACTGTCACACCACTCTTTTTTATTTTCTGTATCACATGTATTGCTATTTGAAATACCATATCATGTTTGCCATCTCCTCCTCCTAGAATGTAGGTTCCATTTGAGTAGGTCTTATTTTGTTCATTGGTAATTTCCAGCATCTGGAATACTGCCTTGCACTTGGTAAACAGTCAGAAGGTTAAATCCCTGTGCACATCAAAAACTTTTCCCAACAGAGTGAAAACAAAACATACCAACTGGGAAAAAACATTTGGCAATACCATCTCAGACAAGGAATTACAAAAGTTTAAAGAATACCCCTGGGCCTTCCCAAGAAAAAGACAGATAACCCAAATACAAAATGGGAAAAAGACAATGAAAGACTTTTCACAGAGGAAGACATTCAAATAGCCAACATACACATGAAGAAATGCTCCAAATTACTGAAAATAAGAGAGATGCTAATCAAAACCACAATGAGATTCCATCTCACCCGAGTAGTAGTGGCAAAGTTTAGTAGGGCAGCAAGTAATAAGTGTTGGAGAGGATGTGAACAGATGGAACTCTCATACATTGTTGGTTTGATTGTAAAATGGTACAACCACTCTGGAAGGCAGTTTGGCATTTCCTCAAAAACCTGAACATAGAAATTCCACATGACCCAGCTCTTCTACTGCTAGGAGTATACCCTGAGGTATACTGAAACACAAACTGAGATTTGTACACCAATTTCCATAGTAGCATTATTCACAATTGCAACAACATAGAAATAGCCCAAATATCTAACCACTATTGAGTGGTTTGAGAAACTATGGTACATTCACATGATGGAATACTACGCAGCACTCAGAAGCAACGATTTTAAAAATTACTTACATAACTTGGGAGTTGAAAATTACTACATAACTTGAGAGAGACTGGAGAACATTATGTTGTGTGAACTCAGTCTCATAAAGACAAATGCTGCATAAAGTCATCATTGTAGAAATAGAAAGGTAACTCATAAAATAAAATGTATGTTAGTTTCTAAGGGGGGGGGTCGTAAGGGTCAGGATAGACAGACGGGAAATCACAAAGTCACATAATTTGATAGGTGGAGGGAGAGGGTAAAGGAAACAGAAAAGATCTGGCGGGAATCTAGAAAGACGGGGTAATAACATAGTTTAATGGTGATTAAATTTATAAAACATAATGAGTGGGAATGATTGTATGAAACATAATGTGAATGAAGAATAGTATAAACCACAATGTATATGAACTTTGTAAGCAAACCAATATAAAAGAAAAATTTTTTAAAATTATGAAGGAATACTAGAATATTGTAGATGTGAAGTGGAAGAAAGGTAGCATGCAAAGGTTACTTGCCATGGTTGTTGCTATTATACACCGTTGAGTCAACTGTGACTCATACTCTGATCCGTACCCTATCCTGAGCCAACCTCATATCTCAGACTCACTTGACCCCATTGCCACAGTCATTGAGTCAATCTCTCTCTCACCCAGAGCCTTCTGGTGCTGTACTGACCCTTTACCCTTCCAAGCATGATGTCTTTCTCCAAGGATTGAACTTAAAACCCAGATCTCCCAATCTGCTGTCATACTCCCTATTTCTGTATTATATATTACAAACAACATACAAACAATACAAACCAATGAGGCCGTAACAAACAGTATCAAACCCATAAGGCTAAACCAGACACTTGTTTACACCTGGTCCTTACCAAGCAAAAGGCTAATCTTTATTACTTATTTTAAAAGGACCTATTCCTTTTCTCAGTCCTGTTTCAATTTATTTGGTTCTTACTAAATGCTTTCTGAGCAAAAACAAGTATGGTTTTTCTTTAAATTTTATATTGGTTTGCATACAAAAATTGATCTACATTGTGTTTCATCCACATACATTGTGTTTCACACATTCCTTTATTCACATTGTGTTTCATATTATCATTTCCTTACATTATTTTTTCTAAAATTAATCATCATTGGTCTGCGCCCACCATTGCCCTCTTTCACATCCCCATTGAATCTTTCCTAATTCTCTCATCCCCCTCCCTCCATTCACCAAACTCTCTGACCCTGTGATTTCCTCCCTGCTCACTCTCAGTCCCCGGCTCCCTGCCCTTCCCTCATTGGACTTTCATTATATATATATATCTCCCCAAAAAAACCCAAAAACAAACAAACAAAAAAACCCAAACAAATGCCTGGGCTTATGGGAAAATAAAATGAAATGAGAAAAACTTAAGACCTACCATTGCAAGTGATTAGGTAAAGGTGATGAGGCTCAGTGTTAAGTTTAGGTCATGGGAGAACATGGTAATAGAGATTTTCATCTAATGTTTTTAATACCAATGATATTAATTAAATGCAAGGCAAAAATAATTCTGAGAACTTCTCTATAGTTTATAGTATAAAAGGCTAGTTACGCATTTTATGCTTCACTTAGCATTCCTGCATAGCACAGTTTGGTCAATGAGATATTTCCTTCGTGTCAAAAGAAAATTCCAATAATCAGAAAAACAGCTGTGTAGATGACTCACTCTAGGTTTTGCTAGGAGAGAATTTTTGTAAAAGAGGCAAGCACAAGAGAATTCAATTGTAATTATATATCACAACTTCACCAGTTGAAAACACTTTTTACATCATGAAAGAAAGCATTCAGAGAGTCAGATGGGTCACCTAAGTACGTGGCTCGCATGGTGGAAATAGAAGAGGGCTTGGTTAAGAGCAGTGAAAGGAAGCACGTGTGAGATTTAATAGCCAATCAGAGGTGAGCTGATTGAGGCACACCGCTGATCCTGCTGACATCCTGATTCAGGCAGGATCTTAGAAAACAATTCGAAGCAAGTACATGACTCACCTTCAACTGAAGACCATTCACGTGTCCCAGGGTGAGATCAGATATTTTTATCACCACAGGGTAAATTATGGAGAAGCTGCAGTTTCGATGCTGATGTGGAACTATCAGGGTAAACCTTCCATTTGGGGTCTGTGAGATGATATTGCAGGCTTTGAAGAGAGAAAGTAAACAAATAAACCACACTGGCATTACCTGGTATGCTGGACTTTTATAGAAACTCAGTTTCTATCCTTATTCTAGACTCTTCATTGTGGTCTAGGACCGGTACCCAGGGAAATGGTATGTTCTCCAACAAAAACAATTTGTTGCAGTTGAAGAATAAAAATCATCAATGACAAGGGCATTATCAGGAGGCCTTGGATTTACAAATGGGCATGTAATCTCAGAGAGTTACCTTGTTTATGACAGTGGTAAGCTATAAATCAATAACAAAACACAGACTAAGATCTGAAAGTAGTTCAAGAAATACTCTGATTATCTAAGGCCCAAATTCAAGTTGAGTCTGGAAGAATTGAAATGTAAGAGTGAAGCCAGACTCAAAAATTGTCTCAAGCCTTCATTTGTTGAGTCAAGAGTCATATGTTAAGTTTTAAAAATTATTTAGTACATAAATAGTCATAAAATTGACTAAGAAAGATTAAAAGGACAGCAAAATATTTATTTGGTACTTACTAAGTGGGGAAAAATGGATTAAAAATTAAGTCTATCATATTTTTTTTAATCCCAAGAATCTCTAGAATTTTTTGTTTTGTGTTTCAAGCTCTAGACTTAGATCATGGGTCTTTTAGCTTTGAAACTAGGATCATTAGAGTTTATACTTTGATCTGTCAATTATGGCAACATCTGTTTTCTGACTGAGAAAATCAGTAAAGCCTCTTGCTTCATACCTATGTTTTCATGGTCCTTAATTCCAAGAACTGACATTTCGTGATGATTATAGAAGCTTACACCTAATTCTAAGTAGAACTAGCATTTCTTGGTTACAAAAGTTTTCTGAGTTCTAACCAAGGAAAATATATGTGTGTGTGTGTGTGTGTGTGTGTGTGTGTGTGTGTGTTATATATAAAATTGATTTGCCTTCTAAAATTATTTTGCTCCATCTTTATGAGATAGCTTTTTAGGGGGAAACCTTATTTTTTTCAAAAAAAGAAAATAAAATCTGAAAATTGGTACACTGTTTTTTGGCAGATTAGACTAATTCTTCAGTCATATGATATTTTATACAACCTACAATGAGTGATAGGCATCCTTTCAACTTTTCTTTTTCAAAGATTTTTGTCTTAATAGAAATTAAACAAACAACCCTTTTTTATTAAGAAAATTTGTTTTTCTAGGCTGTTCTTTCCTGCAAGATAATCTTTGATTTCTCAGAAATAAGCTAAAGTGGTTGGACTCTGAAACAGAAGGTACTGATGAGGTCCAACCCTCTGTCGAAGGAATAAAGTCCATCTATCACAAAGTAGATGCAGAATCTTTCCCTCTTTGCCTAAATATTTCTAGGGCTGCTACTTCATATCTGATTCTTCAAGTTTATCCTGGATTAATGGAATGAGTTGCAGGGATTAGTTTGTCACTGAATGCATTGTAATATTTTAGAAGATCAAAACAAGACTTTGGGGTTAAAGGGGAGGAATAGAATATTACCTGTCATAATAATAAGACACTACATAGTCTAGGGAATAAATTTTAAACTGTGATTTGATTTTCACAATAATGAGTGGGAAATATCTTTCAGGTCATTTCTCATTACAAAAGAATTCTCTGTTCAAATTTCTGAGCAAAGATACTAAACAGGTTTGACCCTGGAGTTCTGCTTTTCAGTTGAGAAGACAGGGGTCCACTTACGAAAGAGGTTAGGCTCTCTCTTTATGGTCAGTGTGAATCCATTCCCTGGTTCCTGGACTCGGAAGAAGATCATGGCCACGTTCTGGGAGGACCGGAAGCTCCTTCGGGTTAGCCCACTCTCACAGAAATCTATGTAGCGCTCAGTTGTGGGGATAGGATGATCCTGGGAGCTGGGGAACTTCTCTCCCTGGAGAATCCAACCATCAAACACCTTCCAACATAAAAAAACAACAACAACAACAACAACAAAAAACCAACAACAAACAAACAAAAAAACCCCAACAAAAACCATAGAGGATCAGTACCATATAGCACCAATATCATGCTAGATGTAAGGGCAGAGAAACTTCATCTCAGATACTTTGGGCAGGTTGTCAGAAGGGGTCAATGTTTGGAAAAAGGACATCATACTGAGAAAGGTGGAGGGTCAGAGAAGGAGAAGATTCCCAATAAGGTGATTGACCCTGTGACTGTAAAGATGGGCTTGAGCATATTAGAAATGGTTAGTATGGTGCAAAACAGGCCAAGGTTCAGATCTGTTGTTCAGAGTGTTGCTCTGAGCCACCATTAACTTGATGACATTCAACAGCAATAACAGCCAATATCATGACTGTGTTGGGGGAAAACCAAACAAACCAAACCAAGCCAACCCTAGCCAAACCAAACCAAACCAAACCAGACCAGACCAGACCAGACCAAACCATGATGACCTCTTGTCAGGTTTCCAAGACTGTAAATCTACATAGGAGAAGATTACTTATCTTTTTCCTCCAGAACAGCTAGTGGATTCAAACTACCAAACTTTTGGTTAGTAATCCAACAAGTAAGCCAATCAGGACTCCTTGTGTTGAAAGCATGGAAAAGTTTTTACACTACACTCCATTGCCCACTCGCTTCTTATATGTATATATTTGGACTTTGAAGGCTGTTTTGTAATGATATCATAATTTTTCTTTATGTACATGAAAGTGCATACATTGTGCCATCAAGCAAGAACCAACTGCTAGCTGACCCTCCATTAGGTTTTCTGAGGTTGTAGATAGAATGGGAGGAGAGTGTCCCCTTTTCTCCTGCGGAGCAGATGGTAATTCAAACCATGTGCCTTTGAGTTGGCAGTGTAACTCCTTACAGTAAAAACCTTCATTTTATCATTTTTGTGAAAACACAGATAATACATTTTTATCCTGGTCATTGTTTCTCTACATCACTTCTAGAAGAGTTCCACAAAAACATGCTTTAAGTTCCACTCATCTTTATTCACTGGAGTGTGAATAACAAAATAGAAATTAAAAAGTAAGCGCTCTGGTGGCAATTTCATCCCATATGAAAACCCTTTGAAGAATCAGCTAAGAGTTGGCTCTGACTCAAAGGCACGTAATGACAAGTAGTGAAAGAAAAGAGAAAAAACTGAAGCAACTCTACTTGCTAGTGGCTGTGCACGCTCTTTGTCCCCCCTTTAAACTGTCATCACATCTTAATTTAAAATACCAATATTGTCTGCTTCACATGCAGACAAGGAAGGCTGGCAAATCGTGTGATTCTTTGCCCGCTCTTATTAGTTCTTTAACTCTTACCGTTGGGCTTTCCTCTCAAAACCACCACAGGCCAGCAGGATCTCAGGTTAATGGGCGCAACTGCACTCCACTCCACCTTTGCAAAATAACCAACTCAACCACAAATTACTTCGCCAGGCCCCTCCTGATGAGTTTGATAGATTCCGAAACAATTTCACTTTGGAGCTTTTATGCATGATTATTTTAATTGGGCAACAGAACTCCAGCCTAAGATGGCCTGTTAGATTTACGGAATGATATTGGGGTTAGGGATTTGGGCAGCCCCTTTCCACCTGACTCAGATTTCCTCTGGACAGCCAATGCCCTGCTGTTTCAACCCTAGTCACCTGGGCAATGAATAAAGGCCGTGAGCAGCGACCACACTACAGAGAGAGGGGTAGGCAGGAGAAAGGCGGGAGGAATTTCAGATACTTGGCATCTACCCAGAGACAGCCTGCTTCGTTAAACCAGTTTCAGTTAGCTGTTATGTTGTTATTATATTTCATGAGCCTTAAATTGCATCGCAGGGCTTCACAGTGCTTTAAGTTACTGGAAGAGCCCAGGGCCCTGAAGGCACATAGCAGAGCATCTAAAACCCAGCAACTAGGAATCTCTGGGTGTGGGACGAGGTCCCCGACTAGGCGTGGCCAGAGCGCGCCTCTCCAACTCCAGCCCTGCAGGGTGTGTAAGTTACAGTCCGCGCGCACCGGCGCGCGGCATCCCGGTGTTGCGCGCAGCACCTCAGCTCCTCGCACCCTTCCGTGTCCCCCAGGCTGGGGATGCGCGGCGAACACGCCTCACCTTCAGGAAGTCCCCTCCTTGACAGTCGATGGAGACTAGGTCATAGTGGATGGTGATGAACTCCTCCGGCTCGCTGATGAAGAACACCGCGCACTGCTGCTGAGGCTGCCTGGCGGTGAAGGTGAATTGGCCCGGGAGACTCAGCATGTCCAGACACCCTGGAGGGAGGGCGGGGAGGCCAGCGGACCCCAGGTTATAGTCAGCGTGCTGCACGCCCCGAATTCCAACTCCGGAGCTCATCTCCCCAACTCTTCTGGGGCTCGTCTCTGTAGACTGAGCCTTAGAAGTTCCCCGGGCAGTCCTGGCCACCCTCCTTCCCCCAAAGGATACCCCGACCTCTCAATTGCCCTCGGCCGCGGAGGATGCAAGACTCACGTAGCGCGCGTCGGTACAGCTGCTCCCCCCCCAGCTCCCGCTTCAGGTTGGCGCTGAGCAGCAGGAAAGGGTCCTGGTCTACTGCTTTCTGCAACTGGAATTGAAAACTGGTCTCAAAGTTTAAGGAGTGGGAAGAAAAGGGAGCCCACAGCCAAGGAAGTAAAGGGAGGTGGGGGTGGGGATCAAGGTCTCCCAGGTCTCAAGAACACCAGCGTGTCCCAGCTGTCAGAAGAAGGCTGTCAGTGGGTATGCTAGAGAAATCGAGAAAAAGCCAGTCTTGGGGGAAACCAGGAGATCCAGGGGATTGGCAGACAGGGGAGAACTGAGACCAACAAAGGCTGAAAAAGAGACCAACAGGCCGCCAGCCCATTGCCCAAGGCAGGACACTCAAGCCAGGAGGATGCCAGCACAGGGATGGCTCACCTCTAGGTACCGACTCTCCCCTCCTAGAACAGTCAGGAAGATCAGAAGGAAGTGGCACTGAAGTTGGAAGGTAGACATGCCGGCCTTGCCTCTGCAGCTGGAACAGCCTAGGCTTCTCCGCTTCCAGTGTCTGGAGTTTTGGTCCCACACCGTCAGAGCTGAGAGCTGGAAGCTGGTAGGGTCCCTTGGCTGGGTCTCTTTATAGTGCAGTGGGGAGGGGAGCCTCCCTGCCCCTCAACTGCTGTGAGCTCAGTAACCACGGGTTACCCGAGCTCAGTGACAACGTGCGTGGGGATGACGAGGGTCCGGCTCTCAGCCACAAATTCTCAACGTGGTCTGGCATTATTCACCAAGAATGATTTCAGTCTCTACAACTTGGTGAACGAAGGTGTGGGAGAAGGACAAAGGAGGAGAAAAGGCGTTTTATTTGGTCTGCTCATTGCTGCGTTTCTATCATCCTGTGAACTCTGGGTTAAAACAGTAATGAGCAGGGGAATGTTTGCTTTGGGAACATAAAGTGACAACGTTACACATGTGCATAAAATACCTAAACACATATAAATTGACCATTCAGCTTTATTGAATAGCCTTGATTAGAATCATTCCGGAAATTGCCACAGACTGTAGTACTCATACACTTGCTCCAGCCTCTTGGGAAGAAACCTGAAGTGATTCTAGTCCAAGAGACTCTGACCAAAGTTTGGTTTGGGGGAATTTTGCAGTAGTTCTAGCTTGAGTGAGTGTGTAACTGTGATTATGGTTCCTAAATCTTTGCTTTAGCCTAGTGTACATTTTGTAGAGTTGTTTCTTTAATAGAAAACACCCTCTGGAATGAACTGTTAGATTTAAGCCCTGTGTCACTTGGCCTGAAGCTTACAGGATATACCACACCTGGACCGTATTCCAAAGACCATGACCTTGGCATTTATCCTAATTCACCACAGATGAAGCCATTCCATCTCATCCCTTGGACTACGTGGATTAATTAAGCACTCTGGTACAAAGAATTGCTGATTTTTATTCTAACTGCTAACAAGCAAATTCATAGAGTTAAACAAATGGCTTTGTTGCTTTTGTTGCTTGCTATCAAGTGTTAGCTCCCAGTGACCTTGAATGCGCAGAATAGAACTTCTCCATAGAGTTTCCAAGGCTCTGACCTTTCACAAGCAGATTGCTAAGGCTGTCTTCCTAAGTGACTTTGCATGGTTTGAATCTCCAACCTTTTGCTAGTAGTACAGTACTTAAAATTGTTTATATCACCCAAGGACTCTAAAAAAATTACTTAAATACAGAGATAAGGTACTCAATATAAATTTAACTTTGTTGATTATTATTACCATGAACTGTCAAGTCAGAACCAACCCATAGCTGACCCTCCCATGGCTTTTCAGAAGCAGTAAATCACACAAGATATTGCCCATCTTTCTCCCACAAAGCAGCTGGTGCATTTGAACCACATGCTTTTGGGTTAGCACCACAACTCCTTACCCTGAAGCCATCAGGAAGAAGAAAATGGCTTATCTTATATATAAGGGGGGGAAAAATTATGGGAATACTTTACATTTGACTTTCCTACCCTTTTCTTATCTACCAGATTTTAAATATTTTATGCTGTTTACCTCTGCCTGACAGAAAACATGGTCACTGCCTATCTCTTTCTTGTTATTAAAATTATTACAAAGAATTTTTTTAAATGTTACTGATAAAAAAGAAAATTATTACAAAGAATACAACTATAAGACAAACCTACTCATGAAAATTCTTCTGTTTTTAGTTTATTAATACTCAACAAAATAAAATAATTTTCCTAATGAAGTCAGCACTGGATTATTTTTTTTAAGCACATGTTTTTTTTATATTCAAAACAAGTCTGATTCCTTATTTATTGAATGGGTCTGAAAGGGCGTGGTGGCACACACAGTGATTTGATTCAAGAATAACCACGATGCACTTATACCAACACCCAGCCATCATGAATAGGGTGATGGTGTGGACACTATATGGTTCTTTATGCACATGGTTTCCACTAGACAAAGCCAACTTGATAGCAACTAACACCAGCTATGGGGTGTAGTCCACAGGGAGTCACAAGGCTGGCCTAAAGGCCTTGCCTCACTAATAGCTCGAATCCACCAGCAGCTCTGTGAAAGGAAGTCGGATATTCTCTCCCCGTGCAATTTAAGCTTCAGAATGCCAGTGCAATGGCATTCAGCTATGAGTTCGTTCCAAGTTTGTTTGATTTTCTTTATATTTTTGTTGTTGTTGTTGTGTACCATCTAATCAAATCCAACTGGCACAGGAGATTGCCCCTCCTTCTCCAGCGGAGCATCTGGTAGATTTTAATCTAGAGCCTTTGGGATTGCAGCACAGTTTCTTGCCACTAGGCCACCAGAACTCCCTGAATTGGTTCCAACTTGAAGGCAGTGTTGGTTACTTGTTACAGTTGTCTATTAATAACAGTCATAACCACAGTCCTGTTTTTTAAACAATCCTCAGACCATACCTATAACCAGGAGAGAACAATATAGATGAATGGGACCTCCTAAGAAATCAAATCCGTATGCACATCAAGAAAGTTTTCCAACAGGGTAAGAAGGAAACCCACTGACTGGGGGGAAAATAGTTGATAATGACATATCTAATAAGGTACTCATATCTAAAATTTATTGAATACTCCAGCACCTCAATGAGAAAAAGATAATCCAACAGCAGAATGGGCACTGAATATGAAATGTCTTCACCAAAGAAGACATTCAGATAGCGAACAAACACATGAAGAAATGTTCAAAATCCCTAGGTACCAGAGAGATGCAAATCAAATCAACTATGGGATATCCTCTCACCTCAGTAACAATAGCAAAGTTCAACAGAGCAGCAAACAAGAACTGCTGGTGAGGTTGTGGAGAGATTGGAACACTTACTTACTACTGTTGGGAGTGTAAATTGATGTAACCACTATGGAAAGTGGTTTGTTACTTTCTCAAAAAGTTGGAAATAGATATAACACTTGACCCAGGAATATACCCGAAAGAAACCATAACCACCATCCAAACAGATATATACACACCCATGTTTATTACTGAATTATTTACAGTAGCGAAGAGAAGGAAGCAACTCAAGTGCCCACCAATAAATGAAGGGATAGAAAAATTATGGTATATTCATACAATGGAATACTATACAGCACTGAAAAACAATGAACTTGTAAAAAAATTATACAACATGGGACACCCTGGAGCATATCATGCTAAGTGAAATATGTCTAAGTCACAAAAGGACAGATACTGCATAACACCACTGTTAAAAAGCAGGTCTGAAATGGGGGTTTAGGAAGAGAATAGGATGAGAGTGGATAGGTAATGACCATTGCATTGTAACAGATGAAAGAAAGAACTACCTAAAATGAATATATGATTAGGACTTATACATACAACAACAGCCCAGAATAAGAGATGAATCATTGCAAAGAGGACTGGGGTCAGGGGAGGTAGGTAATTGTGCAAAAATGAATGAATATTAAAAAATAAAAAGTGAACTGGAGGAGGGGGAAAGGGTATAATGTGCAACAATGAACTAATGAAAATCTAACTTCTCTGTAAATATTCGTTAAAATCACAATTAAAACACTGTATTATTTTTTTTTTTAAATCCTCAGAGCATAGAGAGGTCAGAAAATAGAGATGACTGAGAGAAGGAGAATGGGAAGTGTATTATAAAGTAGCAAGCACCCCAAGTCACCATGTTTTTATTGCCCTTCCCATGTCTGCTCAGACTTCTGAATATTGAAAGGGTGTAAAGATATCTGAGGGAAGTAAATAAAGATAAAGACTTAATTTTTGTTTTTAACAGTTTTAGGACTTTATTTGATAATCAACTATTAGTTATCATCCACATTGACAGTCTGTAGATTTTTGAAAGTGGTGACAGGTACATAGGTAACCAGTGTATACAGCTTGTTTGTGGAATCTTCATCCTCATTACGTTTTCTGAACAACACGGATGTGGTATGGGACATTCCTTATTCCTTTGGCCCAGACAGCTTTGTTAAGCCTGGTGTCAACACGAATATCTGGTGTTCCCATCTCCATCATGGCAAATTTCCAGATCTCTTTTAGTGCCCGAGGAGCAAGCGTCTTAAATCCCACTCCATGGATGTGCTTGTGAGTGTTGATGGTGTACCCTCTGGTCACCACTCCATTGATGGCAGAACGGCCTTTCTTCTTCTCACCACCCTTCTTTGCAGGGGCCATAACGCTGGGACCAGGCTGGAAAGGAAGGGGGCAAAGGATTGTGGGAAAAGGTGAAAAACTCAATCTTAACTTGCTTAGCCTCAAACAGGCTAGGCCTACTTCAGGTCTGTCTCTTACTGTTCATAGAGAAAGGCTAGGAGTGCTCAACTGCATGTTTCCAGTCCACACTCTTTTCCCAATCACTTCGTCATAACCATGACCTGTTCTCAGGACTCAGGGTAGCACTCACTCTGGACTCCTACCCCCTTTGAGGTTTTGGCACCTGGCTGTTGTTCCAGAACAATACTGCTTCATTAGTGTTACCATGGAGATATCTTCTCCAATACTTCCCCAACATAGAAATAGACACATGAACGATTAAGGTATCTTCAAAGTATATTCATGAGGCTTCCTTCTCAGAAACCTTACACAGAAGAACTGGGATGAATGAGGGCAAAGATAATGACAGGAACATTCCATTTTACAAGGATAATACATTGTCAACTTCAAATCTACCAAATGCGCTAGTGGATTTGAACCACTGCCTTTGAGTTGAGAGTACAACTTCTTCACACTAGGCCAAGAGTGCCCCCTTTATAGAATGTGATAGTATATGGTCATCTTGTCATTCAGGCTTAGCAGAAATGACAGTTTTCTCTGGGATTTTGTGAAAGAAAAAAAATGTTTTAATCATGTCTGACAGTAAAAAGAGTCTTAGTACAATATGTCGTTTTCACTAGCTCGGCAGCTAAGTCACTTAAAGATTATTTCTTTTTAATTAAAGGATAAAAACTAGAACCTATTGGAGGGTGAGGTTAAGAAGATAAAAGTAGAGGGCAAAGAATTGCC